CGCAAGGAGAGGTCCTTCGTGCGGTGATCTTCCAGCACCTGGACACCAGCTTCATGGAGGGCGTGCTATAGCACGAGGCGGGACTCGGGAGGGCAGCGCGCGGGAGGGGGGGAGGAAGGCCCCGCGGGGCAGCATGCCGAGGCGCCGGGCCGGGCCGCGCCGCCGCGCTCCACCGCGGCCGGCTCAGTGGGCACCGGCTCTTCCCGCCGGCCGCAGGCCAGCCCTGAGAAGTGCCTTCGTTCCCCAGAGCCGAGCCACACTGCCCAAAGTGGCCGAAGCACACGTCGTGCCGCCCGGGCGGCCCACCACCGGAGCGCGGCCCCGCTGGCCCAGGGCCCGTGGCTCCGTGTGCGGGAGGCCCCGCACCAAAGCTGGGGCCCGCTCGCGGCGGCGGGGCGGGGCGGGGCGGGCGTCTCCCGGTGTGCCCGCGGCCAGGACCGGCGCCCGCGCCTGTGTACAGAGCTATAAACAGAGGACTGGACCAGACCGTCTCGCTTGATCGCTTTCCCGCCGAGCCCCGCGGGCGCGCGCCGGCGGCGCGGGGTCCGAGCCCGCAGCTGTCGAGCTTCCTCCGTTTTTATAGATAGCTATTTTTAGAGTTTTTATTTATTAAAAAGCAATGCGGGGGGCGGGGCTGCGGCCGCACCGCCTCGGCTTCCCACGCGTGCGCGCGCGGCCCGGAGCGCCCGCGGGGGCGGGGCGGGGCGCGCGCAGCGCTCCGCCCGGGTGACCGCGGCCGCTTCCGGCGAGGGAGGATGTGGCCGGCGTGCGCTGCGCTCCGGGCCCGGGCTCCGGCCTGGGCCTTGGTGGGGTTGAGGGGAGGTCGGGCCTATGGCGGAGGTGGAGGCGTCACCTACACGCAGGGCCAGAGCCCCGAGCCCCGGACCCGCGAGTACTTCTACTACGTGGACCACCAGGGCCAGGTGGGCTGGGGGCCGGCAGGCCCTGCGGAGCGGGCGAGGGCCCCGGGGGCGAGGGGGGGACGCCCGGCCCGCCGGTCCCAGCCCCGCGGCTCCGCGCCCTCGGCGGTGCGGGTGTCCGTTCCCTGCAGGGGCAGAGCCCTAAGTTTACACGCGGCTCCCGCACTGCCCGAGGGACTCACTGTCCCCTGCCCGCGCCCCCACAGCTTTTCCTGGATGATTCCAGAATGAAGAATTTCATCACCTGCTTCAAAGGTACCGCTGCGCTGCCCCCGGCCCGCGTCTGGCCGCTCGGGGCGGCCCCGAGGGGCTAGCGGGACCCCGGGGCGCACATCCGGGTGCACAGCCGCGCGCTTTGCTCCCCTAGACCCGCAGTTCCTGGTCACTTTCTTCTCCCGCCTGAGGCCCAATCGCAGCGGGCGCTACGAGGCCGCCTTCCCCTTCCTCTCGCTGTGCGGAAGAGAGCGCAACTTCCTGCGCTGTGAGGACCGGCCCGTGGTCTTCACGCACCTGCTGGCCGCGGACCCCGGGTCCCCGCGCCTCTCCTACTGCGGCTGCGGTGCGGCCCTGACTGTGCCCTTCGAGCCGGCGCGTCTGCTGCCTCTGGCGGCCATCTGTCGCCTGTACCACCCCGCCCCTGAGCGCGCGGGCGGCGTG